GTCTGAAAGTGATTCTTCAATTCGGACTTCATTCAGTCCCCTCATACACATCAGTCAGGTTTACCATTGCCGGAGGAATTTCATAGTGACGAATAACATGCCACATACTCCCGGAGAAGAACTGAATAGAAGGCTGCCCGGAAGTCCAGAAACGTCAGCCACCAGGGAATCTGAAGGCTCCGGCACTGCTCGATGACTTGTTTCAGCACAATGATGTTGTCCGTGCATGAGTGCCCAATTTGGAAGCCCATTTCGTTAGTTCGCAATGGACGATCGATGAATTCCATTAGTCGTCTAAGAATGATTCCCGCGAAAACATTTTCCAGCATCGGCAGGAAGGTCATTCCTCAATGGCTGACGCTCACGGTGAGACACTCATTCTTGAAGATTGGTATAATCAGACAATTTTCTCAGTCGTTGAGGATCACAGACTTTCGTCAGAAGAGGTCAAGAGACAAGCGGATATAGCGATAAGGTTTTGCCTTGGCACCTCAGGATCCCAATTCTATTGTGTTCACAGGACTTCGGGCGAGATGTATCGCTCTCTTTAATTTTTAATCGTCTTGGCAGCCGCATCAACAATGTCATCTTTAAGGTGACTGTGGAGGAGCCCTAGGTGTTGGCAGCTCTTAGAGTTTACGGCAGTTAATCCGCTACAGATTTCCAAATGAAACGCCTCACGATTACCAGGATTTTTCAAGTCGTTCCTATCAATGCAGGTATTCTTCGTTTGGGGAATGTTCTTCCAGTAGTTGCCAGGCAAAGACAGGGTTTCACGACTAGTAGAAATTGGTTGGCTCCGACTTCCCTCACCTCGTTTCGCCTGTGTTGTAAAGAGCACTTCGCCATTTGTTACTGATCAGCACATAATCGATCTGGCTTCTGAAGTGACTTCCTGGCACCGTCCACGTCTGCTCATGGAAGTGACGATGCGGAAACAGCGCCCAGGCGTCCTCGTGATGGCGAGGCTGTGCGCAGCAAACATGGTCTAACAAGCCATGGCATTTGTTGCAGGCAAGACCACCCCATCGTGACATATCAAGCGGACCGGCTGTCATCGTCGCGCCTACCTGGGTGTTCAGGTTACCTTCGACAGTCGATAATTGATGTCACTGTGGAAGAACCAAGAGCCGCATGAAGTCATGCGCACAAATGTTTTCCTGTTGAAAAGCTGCAGATATAGCGCACGTCTCAAACCAAAGACATTCTGTTTATGTAAACAGACAAAGGTGATGATCACAACAAAGCGGTTAGCAAATGGGACCAACGTAGCTGATTGGCTGTGCATCAGGTATATAAGATTAGTGGGAGCTGTATTAGCGAATGGATGATAGCGCTTTGCGAAGCAAGTACCGAATACAGTGCTTGATGGCCGACGGTTGCCACGAAGACCGCCCCCCTAATGCATGGCTACAGCTTAAGGTTACGTAAGATATGAAATGGTTGAAGAGTTAGTATACACTTTTTCAATCCAATTGGAACGCTTGTATGACACCTAGCAACGTTTCCGATGAAGTGAGATGAGTCAGTGAAGAATTTGGCCAGATTTTCATCGCCATAATTTCTGCTGAAGCTATCTGAAAATTGATTTGCAGTTGGAAGACCCGCGGACTGTGAAATAATCGAATAACCCTGCTAGAATCTGATACATGATGAATTGGGCGTACCTATGTGCTCGTTTATATGGTTCATTCTGTTCGATGATCCTTATCCATTTGAATCTTTGGCCCCGTCATTATACCCAACGATACTCTATCACGTAGGCGTGATTGCAAAAGGAGGAATTTGAACGTGCCCGACAGGAATTTCAATACTTTAATAATCCTATTCTACTTATGAGCTTTATTCGATATAACACGATTCACTCATACTGTCTGTACGCTCCGTTCTGTGCTGTTCCGTCATATTGCGTTAAGTCAAACGGCAGTTAATTGTTGCTAATTAAGTTGCTATTGATCTGAATTGAATCCAATTACGATAAGACTTGTCTGCCAAATCGACTCCTGCGATGCACCGAAGAAGAAACAAAAGTGAGGTAAAAAGTACTTCTCAGTCCAACGTGTTAAATCGCATTCGCCTACAGTTCGAAAATCCCACTTCGATTTGCTCAAGAACAACGAAAAGACATGAGGATGGTCGCTTGGTCAAAGAAGAAATGGAAAATTATTTTATCGATGTATCGTTTATTTCTCGATCAAGCATTTTAATATAATCCACTATGGGATTAAAAGATTCAAACGCATATACTAGATTAATCTTGCATACCGTATCAGGCCGTCAGTACACGTGTGACATGACACGTTCTTGGTGAGAAACCTAGAAGCTGCTCGAGGCCGCGTCACATGTAAACAGTAGCAGGCGAATTCGTAACCAACAAGGCGGTATGCTTGCAAAGTACCGATTCGGAATATCAACTCAAACGCATTCCAGACAAGCTAAAATTAGCCAATCGTATCGATTTCTACGTACGTGAGCATGTTTTGACATAAGACACTAATAACCCGAGTGAAATATTCATTTGAACTTCAGGCGACTTCTCATTAGCCGCAAATCGGAGTCGGACGACGCCCCGCAGTGCCGTCAGTGGGCAACAGAGGAAGTTGTCCGAAATGTTCGAGTGACAGCAAACGAAATGAGTCAATATCAATGCCGCGCTAACTCAATCCATCGTTTATTCACAGGAGCAAACGAAACGTTGTCAGATTTGTTCTTTAACGGCGTAGAAGACGTTCTCTGCCCGCATACTGGTGGCTACAGACACAGCGTGCAAACACCGGCCTTTTCGATTCAAAGGCATTTGCCAGTGCCTGAGGCGCTTCAACAGCCAAGCGATGAACAAAGACCGCAGCTGCGTGTTGTGCCTGCGATCGCGTTCAACCCATGAGTACAAGCGTTTACGATAAAACAGCCGGACAGCGCGAACTATTTATGCGAACGGACAAGTCCTATAGTGCTGCACTTTGCACGAATGTGGCTAAAATGTACCACCTACGTTGCCTACACATCTTGACGTATATCCATTGTATGACTGCTTGAACTGATACAGGCTGAACCGGCCCACTTATCCTTAAAAAACTGGCAGAATATTTTGCACCCTCCTTGAGTCTGAAGCCGACGTCTGGAAATGCCTCTGATTTAACCGCTCAGGCCGGATTTCATCTCTGACACGGTGCAGTGACACCGAGCGCGTCCATCCACTCCGAATGGTACAACAAGCGTCGAGTC